CCGTCCCCCCTCCTGCCCCTCCGCCGGACCCCAGCACCACTGGCAAGGGGTGAGTCCCAGCCAGACGGGTTAGGCGGTCTAGGGCCATCGCTGTGCCTTTGGGGACCGTGCTGCGCGGCTACAACGCAGAGCCGTCGAGGCAGCTCTGCCCAACCCGTCCCCAAAAAACACGTACTGCCGACCTCCTGTCTGCTGCTGGGAGACATAACCCCCCAAAACCCAGGTGACGGCACCAGAAAACCTCAAAAGCCAGCCAATGCCTCCAGGGTGTCCCCTCCAGGCAGCCGCCTGCATCCGCGGGCTCACCCGGCCGGAGCCGAACCCAGCGTGCCAGCCGGAGGGGCCGGAGGGCAAGGAAGGCGTTTTGGGGACGCCGAGGTTTACCGTTCGTCCACAAAAGGGTGCGAGCATCCCGGATGACCTCAGCCTTGCGCCCAGAGACACCAGGCATCAAAGAGGCACTCGCAGGGCCCAGCCCAGAGCAAGATGCTCGGGCGGCAAGGAAAGCTTTGGCTTGGAGAAAGGCTCCAAGGAAAGCTTGGCAAGGAAAGCTTTTCCAGGGAGAGCCTGGGGCCTATGCAGATGCTGCTGCGGGCCTTGAATCACCTGTGGGCCCCGAAACACCACTAACAGGCCCTCCAAGCAGGAAGGAGGCATCTTCTTGAGCCCCCTGGGATTGGGGTTTTGGTGCTGCTAAGGAGGTACCGAAACGCTGTGCCAGTAGGGCCAGCTTTCTCCTGGCTGACCCCAGCCAACTCCCTCTAAAGGTCCCGTTCTCCCTGCCAGGAGCTTGCAAACCGGCCATACCTGCAGGTTTCTCTCTGCTTCCTCCAAAGCCTTCTCCACGCTGGCCAGGTTGCTCTCCAGCTGGGTGCCCTGCTTGACCTTGGCCTCCAGATCCCTCTTCATTTTGGCAGCCATATCCTCCAGATCCATGGGGCTGGGCCCGGGGGTCTCCTTGCCCCTCTTGGCCCTCTCGGCCATCTCCCACTGGATCTCCTTCTGCAGGGCCTCCGTGCGGGCGGTCAGCTCGTAGATCCTCTGTGTATAGTCCTCCAGACTGGCCCGCAAACTCCTCACCCGCTCCTGCCTCTCGCGCTCGCACTCCTTCTCCAGCTGGAGCTCGCTCTGCCAAAACTCCTCCTCACCCAGCTCCGTCTCGTTGCGCCGCACCACCTGCTCCAAGAAGAAGATCTCGTCCTCCTGGCTGGAGGCCCTGCCGTGCTCCCAGTGCCGCAGGTCCGTCTCCAAGGAGTCCTCGTGGACTTCCAAGGAGTGCAGCTGCTCCTGTTGGCGCAGCACAGTCTTAAACAGCTCCTCCTTGGAGGGCTGGCTGGCCCCGGCGCTCTCCTTCAAGTCCATGCCCTCCCACGTGTGTTGCCTCCATCGGCTCTTGGCGAACAGCTCGCCGGAGCCCATAGGGCCCAAGTTGAAGGTCATGGCTTTTTTCGGCTCCCGGGAGCGGGGCACTTCGGTGCTCATGGGCCGGGGTTTGATGGGCAGGCTGGCCCGGATGAACGTCCTCTCGGGAGCCTGGGGAGCACCGTCCGAGGAGGGTCGCTCGGCCACGCTGGGTCCCGTCCGCCGGAGGACGAACTGCACGTCGTTGGCATATTGCCCGCACTTGGCCAGCGACTCCAGAGGGCACTCGAGCGGGAGGAGCTGCCTCTCCTTCTCCCGCAGCTTCTGGACCAGGACATAGCGTCCCGTCTGACCTGGGGAGAGGACACAAGTGCGTCACCCGGGGGAGCAGGGCCACCAGGGCCCAGCGACCCAGCGCTAATGACCGCGGGCCGAGGTGGAGACGGCAAAGCGGCAGGGCAATTCTGCTCTTCCCTGCCGAAACACGGGCCCTGAGCCCCAGACCACAGTGGCGCCGGTGCAGGTAAATTCCCTGGTGACCCCGGGGGAACTGCTCGCGGTTAGGACGGCGAACGGGGCCTGCACTCCCCCCCCCAGCTGGAGGCAAACACATGCCCAGGGGACTCAGAGGTGAAAGGGGGACCGCACCGTTGTCACTTCTGGAAAGGGCCTAAGAGCAAGGGGGAGATTAGAGGGCTTTGATTTCGACGGCTGAGCCTTAAATCTGCCGCCATGGAAGAACTTCCTGGCTCCAGCCGCGCATGCCAGCAGTGCGAAAGCACTTTACATCCGAGCCACTAGACGGCAGGATTGGCTGGTGGGGGCG